AGGGGGGTTTCCATCCAGCATCTGGCAACCCACCATACACTCCACATCTCCCTTTTATTTACCACCACTCCACTCTGCCCAGTGTCCAAAGGTAACAAAATAGGCCTTCCAGGGCTTTAAAGCTCACAAATTAAAATCTTGTTTGTTTAATCTGTACAAAAACGTATGTGTAAAAATGACAAATTGTGATTGTCGTCATTTAAGGTGTTTCGACCTTTGGCCCTCTCAACTAACCCAGTAAGAAAGTGAATGAGAACTATTTTTTTTAATAGTTTCATATTTTTGCAGCAGGAACTTCCACTTTCAAAATGACATGTTGTTTGAAAGTATGTCCATGTTTCTTCGGAAATACAAGAGCATTTAAAAGCAGTATATATTTGGAAATCACCAGGTTAATTAATTCACTGGCACATTTGATTTTATGCAGCGTGTGTTAGCTGCTGTGACATTATAAAGGGTCTAATTTTTCAAGATCCTCAGTATACACCTGCAGCTAAGACCCTTGAATGCTTTTTTTCCCAGCAGTAAGTCCCTAGTGGCACCAAATGCATATAAGTGAACTGCGGCAGTTGCTTCTGGCACTGCAGAGTGGATAAATGTACCCACCACAGCCAACATCAACCAGTGTCTGGCAGGTGGTGATTTCCCACCCTGGTCGCAACTGCTGGAAGTCAGACGTGTTTTAATACATATGTGAAGGCTCAGTGTGTTTCCCTGTCCCCAACAGAAACCTGGCCTCTGTGTCCCACCAGCAGCATGCCCTGCAGTAACCCAACCTCCTAATCCTGTTAGGCCCGAGTGGCTTAGGCCACGCCAGGCCCTAAACCTCAATACCCCTCTTTCTGACCACCTGCCTACCCGCTGCACACACCATATGGTCACATGTGTGTGTATTTGTGTTCCTGCACTTTTACATATGATATATAATCTGTCTGAAGTTGTCTGTGCTTTTGCTCATGCATGTGTCTCGGTACAATTTATGTAACCCCTCCTGAAGACCCTGCTTAGACTCCATTCAGAACCATTTTCAAGACAGTTGAGTCAGATTTGGCTGTTGGTTATGATATGGTATGGTCTATTGGTCTTAAAGGGAAATTCTGATATTTGTAAACCTGGATCGTATTATGAGAATGTTTCCATTTCATTTTTTTATGACCACTGCTGATGATAATACATTTTATTTACCACCTCTGGTAAACAACATCAACCAGGGCTCATACAGTTCTCCGAAAATTTCAATTGAACAGAAATCATGTAGTCCCCTGAAATACCTGTTGCTATTGTAGTCTCCTGACCATATAAATACTGGGTTCATTTTACAAGCAACAGGTTTGTAGGTTATCTTGTAGGAACATGTGCTTGCATATATTTGTTTGCCAACACAGTGTCCCACCGGATGTCATTGCATTGCTCTGCAGTAAAAAGAGAGTCTGGTTCAGTTTCTTTGCCCAACCATCCTGGGTTTCACCCTGCGGGCTGTTCAGTAATTGCAGACTTCAGTAAGAATGGTGTTGATTTGGCCAAGAAGCATGAAAAAAGCTTCAGACTTGCAGAAATCTTGTCTTGAGTCTGACTAAAAGTAAACTTAGAAAGTAGTCCCCTGAAAATCCATGTAGCCACTGTATTCAATGTTTTCGAAAGCAGTAAGAGGCTCGGCTCCTTTGCCTCAACAGACATTCTCCTTGCTGGAGTCCATGTTTGCCAAACCTCTACATCTGAGTCGGAGCTAAATGCCGTAATTTTCCTGTTAAAATATCTTACCAGGATTATAGTTCCTGATGTTAATATCTATTTCAGATGTTTTTTTCAGTGTCAGAGCCTTGCCCTATTTACCTATAGGACAACCTTGTCCTTGTGTCCAGGGCCTTGCTCTTTAACCCGCACTCTTCCCACCTTTCGTTCTGTATCGTCTCTGTTCTCCTTGCTCTCTTGCTGTGACTGCTGACCTCTTTTCTGTTTCGTCTGAGCCCCACACACACACACACTCACACAAATGCCGGCAGGCCTCAGCTGAGCAGGCTAATCTCTTGAAACATTACAGAGCTGCCGGGAATTTGCCCCGACCACACAAACTCGGGCAACAGGGTCACTGGGGGCTATGCAGACCTACCCAAGCACACAGAGACTAGTGGGTCAAAGGGAAAGACAAATTGGACATGACAGAGAGCCTCAGTCAGAAAATGAAGTAGGTTATAGAAGCTAGAAAATGACCTGATTGCTGAACGTTCATGTAAATATACAGAGAGAGACAAAGAATCACATGCCTCGAAGACACAAGTTTAACCCAGTTTTACAGTTCACAGATTTAAGCAGCGACTGTCAGTGAGGGAGCAGGTGGGCGTTCAGTGTCTTAAATACTTTTCAGCAGGATACGCAGTTCTTGATGCACTCAACTTTTGTTGCTGTGGGGATTTAAACACCAGGTCAGCCAGCTCAAATTAAATCAAGCTTAATTTGTCTTGTCTTTAAGTGTGTGCGTATGTGGGAGTATGCTTATAGGACACTTGTGTGTCTGTGTGGTTATAGGGGAATGTTTAATTAGTAGATTTAATTACCCATAAAGAAAATGGTAATTTGAGGTTAGACTAATTTTAATAAGTGCAACATTTTATGCAGAGGATGCCCTTAGAGTTTTTTTTTTTTAATTCCCCAAAGACATGCAAACAAGCACACACGCTTTACCTGTAACCAGGATACGCAGGTGTAGTTTGACTGAG